TTTTTATTTAATACTCATTTTTAAATATATCATTGGTATAAATCTTAACCACATAACTTTACTTTTTAAATTTCATGAAGAAAGGAGAAGTTCAGTTTTGGACGAAGAGAGTATTTGATCAAAAAAATTATTTTTATTTTATTTTATTTTATGTTTTTAATTAATAAAATTTTCCTAAATAAGTTAAGTATTACTCACTTTGTCCTAAAAAGACACCATAGTTTGATTTTTTGGTCAAACAGTGCAAAACTTTGACCATAAATTGAATATAGTTTTAATTAATTAAATGTTATAAAAATTTGATTTATCAAAACTATATTTTAAAATGAAACTAAATTTTAATTATAACTAAGTATACATTTTCTATAATTTGTGGTCAAAATATTGTACAATTTGACCACAAATGTCAAATTGTGGTAACCTGTTTTGGACGGGGGGAATACTTTAAAAAGAAAATAAATTTATGAAACATAGTAGTCTTTATGATTGATTATTTCTAACACCTATATCTTGCTACAATTGAAAGAAAGAACCAGAAAGAGTACTAGATGGAGAGAGTATTTTATAACTTCTTGTTTTCTAAAAATGGAAACCAAAACAATTTTTTAATTCTTTAAAAAGAAAGTAGATATGCTAGGAGAAGATGGACGGAGTAGATTTTAGTTGGCCAACTCCACATGGGCAGAACAAGAAAATTTATAGTTGGGGCCAGATAGTCTTTTGTAGTATGTCCCATTCCAATTATTGTTTGGGACTAGATCATAAGATGTTTTGTAAAAAAGTTATGGGTTTAGGAGCATCAGCTGAAATCAAGTCACCTTTTTTATTAGAAAAAAAGCCAAAAATTTGTAGATTATGGTTAATTTATAACAGCTTACTTCTTTCCTTTCAGTTTCTCTTTTACTTTAAAGCTCAGTTCTATTGAAACTAAACAATTTTGATTATTTCCAAAACCACTTTTTCAGCAAGCCTATCCAAACAATGATTGATTCAAATTGTTATCGGTTGCAACATTTATCTATGATATAATTGTTTTTTATTGGAGAGATTCTGGAGGTCTAGGATTAGGGTGGTAGGGTAGGTTTTGGGCAGGGGAGGATCAATTTGAGTAGTATGTGGGGGGATGGGTGGGTGAAAAATTATTCATATAATATTTAAAAATGATAAATTATAAGAGTATTTTAAAAACAGTTCTCTTTTTTGACAATAAGAGTTGTCATATTATGAGAACAAGTGAACAGAACCATTGAGGCACCTACCTATCCCCCCTGCCCCTGCTTGGATTGCCGATTGACATCAGTAATTCATCGATTTAGGGGGGTTTTGGTAGCAGAGACATCATTTTTACAAACGGAGCAATGTGCCTGTTTTCATAATATGACAACAAAATCTGTTGTCAAAAGAACCGGGGTATTAAAAATGATATTATTGTGATTTTGTGGATTGTGGAATGAAATTGTTGTGTGAGAAAAAAATTGAGAAAAGCAAAAGATTTAAAAGTTAAAAGAATATTATCTCAAAGTAGACATATAAAAATTATCTAGAGAATAAAATCTAAAAGTGAAGTATTTAGAATATGATAATTAAACTAAGTTATTATGTACTCCATAAATTATGTTTTTCTTTTTTGGGACCTTTTCATTTGAATTATTTGAATGCGTGTTTGAGATTTTTTTTGTCATTTCACTTTTTTTTTAAATAAAAAATCTGGGGCGCTGCCCCCTGGCCCTGTGTAGTTCTTGCCTCTATTTGCCCAATGTGCCCCCCTGGCCACTATTTTTTCGGGATCCACCTATGGTTTTGGGTAGACCTTAGAAGGCTTTGGTAGGGTAGGTTTTCAGGTTCAGGATTTAACCAGGGTTTTGTGGAGGACTTGCTTTCTTATTTTGTTGTATCGATGTGTGTGTTTGCTTCTGCTGTATTCATCTCTGTCTTTTCTCTTTCCTTTACCTTCTATTATTTTGTTGTTTTAATATATTTTTAAGCTATCAAGAACAAGCTCAAAGAGAACCAACTACACTGATGGTCAAAGTGTTAAACACTGAGTTTTTCCTCCTATCAGTTAACCTTTTACAGTGAAACCCCAAGTGTTAGTAATTGCACATGCATAAAATTTGAAAGATTTATGTGGTTTAATATTATCAATGTACTTGGAACAGGCAATCTATTGATATGTATAGTAGTCTACACTCTCCAAGTATAAACTTTCTTGGGACACCCTCATTGTCACGGTTAGGCAGCTCGTTTCTTTCCTCGACGCTTACAAGGAGACACACTCCCGAGATTTTGCCCACACTGCATAAACCACTCTTACCGCCACAAGAAGAGGACAAACAAAGACGAAGTTCCCAAGCTTTACTTCCTCCTATACCCTCAAGGTCATATGTGGTAAAGAAAGTTACCCATGATGGGAAATCTTCTACATTCACACCTGAAGCTCCCATGCCTCAGAAGAGCTCCTTTGGCCAAACTGTGGTAAATGGTATATTTTTTAACCACCTTCAAGGCTTTAAGATATGATGTTCATTGTTCACCTGTCATTTGAAATTACTACCTCTGGTTCAAATAACAATCATTTTGTTGGAAAATTTTTATTTTACACTGTGTGTCGTTTTATAAAGCTAAGCCAATACTTATTATTCATTGCTACATTTCCTGTTTTGTATTCCTTTAGGACTCCTATGCAGAATTTATCATCAACGATAACTAAACCAATTAATTTGGTGCAGTCATTGGTTAAGGATAAGTTGCAGACAATGCTATAGATTTGAAAAAAATGCCCTTCAAATGAAGAATTATCTCTATGCATACTGTGCATTAATTAAATACCGTAGTAATAGTTAAGTGTAAGCTTGCGAAGTTTTTGACCATATAATAGCTCCGTCATCTGTGTGATTTCTTCAAAAGCTACACTTATTGTGAACCAGATGGAGCATTCACAGTGGTGAATGTACAAAAGTATTTCTTTGAATACGTTGAAATTTATCTTTACAAATTCAGTTTTATGTTTAAGCAGCATAAGGCCAACTAATCCACAACCAAAGTATAGTAACTGATATATATCTGCTTGTTTCAAAACAGGCATTAATGTTTTATGTGGAGTAGGAATCCTTTCAACTCCTTATGCTGTTAGACAGGGTGGATGGATTGGGCTTTCTATATTGTTTTTCTATGCTATTCTTTCTTTCTACACCGGGATTCTTCTGCGTCACTGTTTAGACAGCCAACCAGGGCTTGAGACCTATCCCGACATTGGGCAGGCTGCATTTGGTTCAGCTGGACGGGTTGTCATTTCTGTAAGTTTTTCTTTCTCAGTTCTTAAAAAGGGTTTTAGTTGCCTTGTAAATTCATCCAAGGGTCAATTTCGATTGATGGGTTTGGAAGATTTTGGAGGGAAGTTTTTGAAGGACTTTGTCTATATCTTGATAAATAGACAACAAGAAATGCAAAAAAGTTGTATGATCCCCTATTATATTATTCCTTCTATTTTTATAAAGTGTCAAATATAGACGGAACATCAAGATACAGACTTAATCCTCCAAAGTTCAAACTCTTCCCCCACCAAAACTCCCAATAACCTCCACCCAAACTGATATTAAGGCTTTCACTCAAAACCGATGTTTTATTAAAACCCAGATGATTTTATGTTTTCAGTTTATTGTCTATTAAACATTAAATTTATCCTGGAAATTTTAAGTATGTCTTGCACTGACTCCATTTTTTTGGCCCTTTCGTGTTTTGTGGATGCAGATTATTTTATATGCAGAATTATATGTAAGCATAAATGCCTTACCTACCAAGTCTTCAACGACTTTTAAATTTTCAATTTCAAGAACTAGCATCTATTAAGATGAGCTTATCTCTGGGTTAATGGTTGCAGGCATGTTGTATTGAGTATATTATTTTGGAAGCCGATAACCTGTCATCTCTATTTCCAAATGCACATTTGAGTTTGGGAGGATTACATTTAGATGCACACCATCTTTTTGCACTTATTGCAACCCTGGCTGTTCTTCCTACAACTTGGCTGCGTGACCTCAGTGTTCTTAGTTATTTATCAGGTGATGAGCAAATTAGAAACTAATTAAATTAGTTAGTATCTATTGTTGGAGATTGAAAAAAAGGCTTCTTTATGCATGTGCTTATTTTGAAGTTCTTTTTGTTTCAGCTGGAGGAGTTATTGCATCTCTAATGGTTGTTGCTTCCTTGTACTGGGTTGGTTTGGTCAATCACGTTGGATTCGAAAACAAAGAGACCACATTGAATCTGTCCACTCTTCCGGTGGCAGTTGGTCTCTATGGTTATTGTTACTCGGGTCATGCTGTGTTTCCCAACATATACTCATCAATGCAGAAACGTAACCAATTCCCTGCAGTCCTCCTAACCAGGTATATACTTCCACATCGAATAAATATGAATATATGAATGAATGAAAACTTTTATAGTTAGCTTCTTTACAATCGTCACTTCACCTATTGAATTTTTTGATTAAAAAAACTAACACTTTTTTTTGCATCTTTCCTTAACAATTTCCTTTCCTTCCTAATTTCCCAAACCAAACATAGTGTTTTTTAGTTAGCACAACACTTATTCTTTAACACTCGTGTTGAAAGCAGCTTTGGGATAGTGACTTTGCTGTATGGTGGAACGGCTGTGATGGGATATAAGATGTTTGGAGATTCTGCACAGTCACAGTTCACTCTAAATATGCCAAAAGATTTAATCGCCTCCAAAATTGCAGTGTGGACAACGGTTGTCAATCCACTCACCAAGTATGCATTAACGGTTGCTCCAGTGGCATTGAGTCTCGAAGAATTGATACCCTCCTCGGGCAAAGTCAAGTCTCGGATCTATTCCATCTTCATCAGGACAGCTTTGGTTATATCCTCCTTAATTTTTGGTCTCTTGATACCTTTCTTTGGTAAGCTCTCATCTCTCTGTTTTATGCCGGGAAAAAAACCTTGTCATTTGTGGATGGAACTTATCTACCCATTATTCCTACCTTATCGAACATTTCGTGCATCATTTTCATCACAGTAAATCTTGCATTTTACAGGTCTCGTTATGTCATTTATCGGATCATTCCTCACGATGCTAGTTGTAAGTAACCTATTCCTTCGGTCCTACCTATTTTGACTCCCCCTTTCTTTCAGTTTCAACCATGTATATATTGATTGATTCAGTTTCTCGATCTCCATCTCTCTGTGCAGACACTAATACTTCCCTGTGCATGTTATCTGAGTATACTGAGGGGGAAATTAAGCTACGTCCAGGTACCCAGAGACTCTCGTCTGATTGCATTAGTTGAATAGGTTGATGATGAGATAAAACAGTGCAAAACCCACCTTTTTTTTAAATGTCTGAAATGCTTATTATGTAAAAAAAAAAAACTTTTGTGGTGCCGAACCGGCTCTTAACCGTTAAACTTTGGTGTCTGAGAAAAGCCAAATTGTGTTTGCAGGCAGGAGCTTGTGTATTGGTGATGGTAGCAGGTGTGGTTTCATCAGCTTTTGGAACATATTCAGCCATTTCTCAGATTGCTCAGAATCTCTCTGGTTAAGCAATCTGGGGATATACCCTTTTACTTCAATTACTTGTATTCATTCTTCCACAGCACTCATTTTATAATACACCTTTATAATTTCTTAATTAATTTATTACTTTTTCTTTCCTTTTCAGTAATTGATTAATTAATTACTTTTGTTTTTTTGCAGTCTAATTCAACTTTTCCAAATAAAAAAAAGTACTCCCCATAGATCTTCCCAATAGCCCTTTTTCTTTGTCCACAATAGATCTTCTCATTTCATTTTTTAACAATTAAAATACCACAACTACCCCACTTACTTTATTTATTACACCTCACCCACCTCATTTAATACACACCATCCATTTTTCATTAAGGGTATTATGGTAAACTTTCACCTTTTTTCAACTCTCCTTAAAAACCACCAAAAGTCAAAATGAGAACATCTTAGGGGGACGGAGGGAGTACAAAATTAGAGCATTTAGATCAAACTAGAAGCAATGAAGCATTCAAATAAACTGTTCAAATGCATGATGCAATATAATCTTAGTTTTATTAATAAACTACTAAGTAGGCACCCTTTCATAAGTAGGCACCTTCCTCTAATATCAAATTACTCCCTTCCAAAATGAGCACTCAATCCAATGGGGTTGTATTTAATATTTTCATTTTTATTATTATGTTTATTATTACTACTAGCTAGGGAAACATTATGTTATTTCTTGCCAAAGTGACGGACGATCTTTTCATAGTACTTCCAATCGGGATGTGAAGGCGTTATCGGAGGTTGCCCGATGCGATTCTCCTTCACATAAGTAGGAACATCATCCGCTTCTGCAACCCCTTCCAAAAAACTTCGTAACTCGCCCGTTTGTCCTACAATGTCAACAGATAAACCACAACAAGAACACCAACATCAACAATAACAAACATAGTAGAATCACTGCCCGGAAAGGGTGAATGTGCACATACTTTATCATTACTTAAAAATCACACATTAAGTAAATGCAATATAATTTTGTTACATAGCCTTGCTCACCTAAAAATGTGTCCCTAGGATTTGGTTTTTTGTATGGTTGCGGAAATATAGCCGAGTCAACCTGCAGTGCCTCCCAAAAAATGGGAAAAAATTGTAAACACTTGTTTTGTCCAATAAAAATAAGAAAGATGATTTTTAAAAAATAAATTTAATTTGCATATAAAGACAAGCGGGGCGGATACGCACCGGGTTGAGGAGCGATACGTGGGGCTCGGTATCAATCAACAGAGTATTAGAAGCTGAATATTGGCCATTTTTCCATGGAAGCGTAATGGGATATTTCTTCCCCCAAAGATCTTCCAAACGCTTGAGGAATATGGGTTTTCCTCCTTTTCTAGACAATAAAAACCAGAATCTTCACATTCCTCTTGTGCCTGTATAAATATATCATTGACATAAACAAAACCGGAGTAAATAAATAAATGAATAAATAAATGTGATTCCAATTTTAACACCATGTATTTTAGACATTTTTATCAAACACATCAACTAGCAGTTTGACCAGTTAAAAATGCTTTCTATCTAGGCAAAATGCCCTAAAAAACACCACATAGCTCAGCATTATACCAATAATCAGACATAACCTTTGAGACAAAAATGTTTACCTAAAAGGATGAGTCTTATTATCAAACATCTAAGAACACCTAATGTTATTACGGGACAGAAAGAAATGTGTATGTATTTAAAAAATAAATATGCACTTTTCAAGGATTACATCTTCAAGATTTTATGCTTTTCTTTCATAAATTGGAAGTGTTATTGACAACAAAATGAAAAAATTCTTTTAGAAACAAAATGAATAATATGCAATTTTTAAATATGCATGCTCTAAATATATGCAAAGAAATAAATGGGCATATATATGCTGGGTATACAATACACAAAATTTATTAAATGTACAACCATCAGCTTCAAAATGTGCATCCTCTAAGTATATGCAAAGAAATAAATATGCCAAATGATTATTTTTCTAAATTGTAAATGAGCATAATGTACAATAAACACCATAATGCATAATGTAGGAACTCCCAAGAAGAAGAAGATTACTCACCCAAACAAATGCCAACTTGTGCCTATTTCCATGACCAGTGATACAGCTCAAAACAGCATCAATATTATGGCTATAATTATAAATATTTATCAAAACAATCAATCACCAAATCATTTATGCTATACTTCCTCCGTCCCGTAAAACATTTCAATTTGAGCTAAACGAACACAATTACCTCTACTTTTTCTTAAATTGATATCTCAACTACCTCCTACGCCAATCTATTTTGACACTTCCCAAACCCTACTCTTTTCAATTGTCAACGTTCTACCTTGATCAAACTTATACGGTTTCTCATCCTAAAAATCAAAATAAGAAAAGTTTTTCGGGGCGTAGGTAGTACAATATTATAATGTTAATTTTATTATGAAAAAATAAATTACTCCCTATTTAAAAATTAAAAAAAAAACTCACTCTCTGGCAGACGACCATAACCCGACCACAAATCGATCAAAGCAGAACTTCATGAACTCTGTACATAAAGGCCTCTTGAACACTGCTTCAAAAAAATCAAAATTTCACAGCGAAATCAAAATTGGGAGAGAAACAATAAAATGATTTTTTTTTTTAAAAAAAAATCTGACCTAGAAATTTTCCATGGGTGACGTCAGGTTCGAAGCCACGAACGGTGCGCCTATCTCTAACGTGCACCCGGCGCACCAGTAGATCGCCGAGACAGAGCACGAGGAGCTTCTTCTGAGGACCCAAATTCAATTTTTCCAGTGGAAGAAGATCTTCAACATCGTCTCCCTCTTCATCGCTGCCGGAATCGTCGGAAACGGGGAGTTTTTGCTTCAGTTTGTCGCCCATTTTCCTTCTTGAGCTCTAATTAATGGCGGATTGAGCTTTTTAAATAGAGACGGTAGACGGATAAGATTTTTTTTTAATTTAATTAATGCTAGTGTAGAAAAAATTAGTGAATCAAAGTCAAAAACACTGAAATTTAAGAACTTGAGCATTTCGAGATTTCGTTTGGCATTCTGGTAGATCGAGAAAGGAATTTGAACGGTTAAATTCTTTGGAAGGGATATTTTAACGGGTAATTCAGTATTTAATGCGGCCTAGTTAGTTAATACGCGTATAATACACGTATTATACTCACGTACGTAAAATACGCGTATTATACTCATGTATTCGTATGATTTTAAAAATTCTTTAAAATACACGTATATTTGATACTACACGTATATTTACGTATAGTACGTATGAATTGAATATTTTATTATAAATTTTTTTGTACAAAAACAAATATTAATTTGTTACAAAAATATTTAAACAAATATGAATAATACTTCATATGAGTTATACATACAATACTCAATCAATTTGAAAAAATATATACTCCATGCATCCCATTTTATATTCTGTTTTGAACATGGAACATATTTAAAGAAGTGAAAAAATAATGATTTTCCAAAAACGTCCCTATTTTTTTAGAGGGATGACGAAGAATGAGAAGATAAGGTAGAGAAGAATGACTTATTTTAGGGATAGTTTAGGTATTTTATCCTTAAAAGTTTACCATAATAAGAAACAAGCAACTTATTTTGGGATTAATAAAAAAGTAAAACAGAAAATTTAAAATGAGACGGAGGGAGTACTAACTACATTCTACAAAGAATTTACACTCTTTTGTCACGTTTAAAAAAAGACTTCACTCTTTCTCTTTTTGCATGTCTCAAAAATTCACTTTCTTTTTAGAAAGGAATGAATGACTCACAACTCTTGTTTGTTTTTTTCTTAATATATTCAAACTATAAAGTTTATATTTTTAACATTTTTTAAACTACGTACGTGAAAGTCAAATAAGGATATTTTTCAAATGAGGGGAGTATATATTTTTTTCAAATAGATATGTTAAATAAATAGAGATTCTAATTTGAAAAAATCTATTGTAAATATTTTATTTAAAAGATTTTTGTATTTAGTTTATATGACTATAAGTCGATAAATATGTGTAAATTTGATGTTTATATGATAATATATATAAACATATAATAAGACGTATTTTAAAAATTGAAAACGTTTGAAACACGTACGTATCTGTATCCGTATGCCGAACGTTTAGTATGCATAGTAAGCCGTATTTTATAAAATCCTAACGTATTATACACGAACATACGTATTTACGTATTATATGTTTGCCGTATATTACTAACTATGCATGGCGGATGGAGAATTGGACGGGAATGTTAGTGTTAGAGTTGCTTGGAAAAAGTTTATGTGTGATAATATGATTTTGTTCAGAATGAAAGCTAAGTTCTACTAGTCCGTAATATTTATGTTACATGGTGCAGACTGTTAGGCAATTAAGAAAACTCACATTCATAACTGTATGCTATAGTAGATGAGTAGGTTGAAAAGGATGGATAGGGTTCGGAATGAAATTGCCTAAGGATGGGTAGGCATGTCACATGTGGAAGATAAGCTACATGAAACTAGGTTTAGATGGTTTGGACATGTGAGGCAGTGCAATGCTAACGCCTCAATACGAAGGTGCGTGATGCTTATGTTGGTGAGTGGGAGTAAGGAAAGAGATAGACCTAAGAAAAATGAAAGGAAGTGATTAGACAAGGCATATTATGACTTCTTGCCCTTACTAAGAATATAACCTTAGATATGATTATTTGAAGAAACAAGATTAGAGAAGTTAGATAGATCGCAAAATTAGAGAAGTTAGATAGATCTTTCGGGTAAGGTTGCAATTTTGGCACTTGTTGTGTGCTTTGTTTGTTTTGAATGTTTGTCTACTTGTAGTACGTACTTGTAGACAAATTCCAAGCTCTCCCGGATGGGTCTCTGCCCCTTGGACCCCGCCAGGGTCTGCAGCCTCTTGGACCCTGCTATCGAGGTTGCCCCCGGACCTCTGCTATGAATTCGTAACATCATTGAACGAGTGCGTACTCTGCACCTTCTAACTCATTTGATAACGTTTATTCAAATTCTTGTATAATTTAAACAAATTCAATCACATAAAATAGTCGATAACACTAAAATCACCAACAGTACGATACCATTTCATACCAATGCCAAACCATATCGTAGTGTTTTAAGAGTTAATTTTTTTATTATAAAACAAAACTAAATATTGAAAGTAAAAATGTTGGACGCACTAAAATATTTTTAAATCCTTGAAAACAAAGGAAACAAGAACTAGACATGTTGAAAAATAAGAAATGTAAAGGTTGAATTAATTGAAAATAACAAGTCATATTGAAAAAAGAATTGGAGTAATTTTTTCTAACAAATGTACTTGACGGATGAGTATGAGTGTATGACTAGTTTCTTAAGACTAGGACATTTTTCTTTATTTTGATAGAGCCAAAGATTTACTATTTTTTTTTATTTTGAGGTATGATGAAATAAAGCAAAATAACTTTTTTAAACTGTTGCGCTTTCCTTCAACAGTGAGGTAGCAGTTAGTTAATGTAACTTTCAGCACTCATCATGAATTTTTATAAATAACTGCTTTATGTATTAATTTTTGAGATCAAGCTGCATACATCCGACCCCCTTACCCTGCAATAGGTAGAAAGCTTTGAGGCACTGAGCAATGTTATTTGCTCATGTTTGAAAGTTTGCAAAAGGTTTTGAAAGCGAACACTACAAGAATCTGTCAGATCTATCACGGAATATTTCCGTCGCACCACCATACAAAAAGCGACTTTAATTGTTACGCACTGACCCGACCCATAATGTCGGACCACCATACAACCTATTGGATACTCATAACACTAATTAAGTCTCATATCACATTATATCAAATTTATTAAAGCAATGGATAATACACATTATAGTAATGCCACAAACAACAATTTGTAATAGGCGCACATCATGTCTATTAATTATTATTTTGCTCATAAGTCATAAGCATTAGTCTAACAGTGATAATAAGAAGGAATGTATACAACCAACCATGAAAACAAGAGATGATTATTATGATAGTAAAGTTTCACCAGGTACCAACAACAACAAGACTCTCTTACCTAAAAAAATGTGTCAAAAAGAGAGAGTTAGTATCTACCAATACATTAAAATTTCATAAAATTTAAAAAAATCTACCAACAACACTCTCTTACCTAAAAGCTTATAATTTATTCAAACATTTCATAAAATTTTAAAAAAAATCTTGATTTTAGAAACTAATGTTTCAGTTTATTGATCAATCATGTCAAAAGGTACTTGTCACAACAATTAGAAATAAAATTCCAATTTGAATCCATTACCAGAGAGATTCTGAGCAATCTGAGAAATGGCTGAATATGTTCCAAAAGCTGATGAAACCACACCTGCTACCATCACCAATACACAAGCTCCTCCCTGCAATTAAACACAATCAAATAATATATATTAGCAAAGTGGAATGAGTAAATTAAATCATCAAGTGGACATGTGAATTGAGGTCAAACTATATATATATATATATATATATATATATATATATATATATATATATATGTATGTATGTATGTATGTATATATATGTATATATATGTTGTGATCCATAATGGGTCCTAGCTATTTTGTTATTTTTATGATTCACAAAGAGGAAATTAAATGGGAGTCCAGAGAGACTCTCTACACCTGAATGTAGCTTAGTTTCCCCCTCAATATACTCAGGTAACATGCACACGGAAATATTAGCATCTGCAGGGAGAGAACGAGAGCGAGAGAGATATCGAACCGATCAATATATAGTGATTTAATAGCGAAGCAAAAGTAGTGAGTGAAAACGGGTAGGACTAGGCGACTCACAACTAGCATCGTGAGGAATGATCCGATAAACGCCATCACGAGACCTGTTGTGATGAAAATGATGCACAAAATGTTCAATAGTGAGGTAGAAGTAATATATGGGTAGATAAAGAAGAAAGACGAAACCTTACCAAAGAAAGGTATCAAGAGACCGAAAACCAAGGAAGATATGACCAAAGCTGTCCTGATGAGGATCGAATAGACCCGAGACTTGACTTTGCCTGAGGAGGGTAACATTTCCTCAAGACTCAATGCCACGGGAGCCATCACCAATGCATACTTTGTCAGCGGATTGACAACCGTTGTCCACACTGCAATTTTTGAGGCGACCAATTCCTTCGGCATGTTTAGAGTGAACTGTGACTCTGCGCAATCTCCAAACATCTTATATCCCATCACAGCCACTCCACCATACATCAAAGTAACTATCCCAAAGCTGCTTTCAACACGTGCGAGTGTTAAAGAATATGTGTTGCGCAAACTCGAAAACGCTATGTTTGCTTTCATTTGTATTTGGTCGATGTGGAAGTATATACGTACCTGGTTAGGAGGACTGCAGGGAATTGGTTACGCTTCTGCATTGATGTGTATATGCTGGGAAACACAGCATGACCCGAGTAACAATAACCATAGAGACCGACTGCCACGGGAAGAGTGGATAGATTCAATGTGGTCTCTTTGCTTTCGAACCCAACGTGATTGACCAAACCAACCCAATACAAGGAAGCAACAACGGTTAGAGATGCTATAACTCCTCCAGCTGAAGAAACAAAAAGGAATGAACTTCAGAATAAGCACATGCATAAAGAGGTTTAATTTGTTTTTTTTTCATTACCCATCAGTAGACCCCCCCTGGTCCCACACGGGGTTGTAGACTGACCCCACAAATCAACACAAGTCTTTCCCGCGCACCTGATAAATAGCTGAGAACACTGAGGTCGCGCAGCCAGGTTGTAGGAAGAACAGCCAGGGTCGCAATAAGTGCAAACAGATGGTGTGCATCCAAATGTAATCCTCCCAAACTCAAATGTGCATTTGGAAATAGAGACGACAAGTTATCGGCTTCCAAAATAATATACTCAATACAACTTACCTGCAAGACAAAACCCATAGATAATCGTACCATAACACACGCTAATTCTACTTGAAACTTACGAATCGAAAGCTGTTCAAGACTTGAATGGGTAGCTAGGCATCCATGCTTACATATAATTCAACACACAAAGTAACCTGCACCCAAGAAAAAATAGTGGAATCAATGCAAGATATACTCTAAATAAATTTCCAGATTGAAGAAAAACCTACAGAAATGACA